TGCTGCTACTGATGAAATTCAAGCCCTAAATGAAAGTTCGAATTTTGTAAACCTTGTATTGACTACCCTGAGCTCAGCAGCTTATGAAAACTCACCTAAGAATTTGATCAGTAGTAATTTTAACAAATACTTTCTTTCTATTACTGTGTTCTGAGGAAATCATATTTTAAGATCCCAGATAGCACTGTTTTCTAAATGATTACTTAATGATCTCATAAAATAACAAGCAGATAAAAGATCTATTCAGAATATGCAGTAGGGTTTACACAAATGAATTCTGTACAGTTTCTATAAGATGAATAGAAGAAAAAGAAACAAATATCATAATGCCAGTGTGAGACAATCTCAGTTGCTTCTGACTACCACATAACCTTTCTTGTGGAGGAGGCCGATAGTTAATCTTAACTGCCATTTTGATTGAATCCAGGATCAACTAAGAGACAAGCCTCTGGATGGATTTGTGAGGGAATTTCCATAGAGGATTAGCTGAGCTGAAAACATTCCCCTGGAGTGGATAGCATCTACCAAGGGCAACCCAGATATCAATAGCTCTGAGGGAGAGTCCTAGGGATTGCTTGGCTGCCTTCATTTCTTGTTGGTGAATATGTCTAATTTATTGTTGTCGCTGCTGACATCCTTCTCTGACATTATAATCCACCCTTCCAACATGGACTGAAGACCAGAGCTCTCCAGGCATCCAATGGACCTTCAGTGCCAAATCATACTGCTGAGGCATGCTGCCTCGTAGTCTGAGGTGCTCCTGTCGCCAGGATAGAAATGATGACTGTTACTAATGACTGGGTAGACTAACCTACCCAGCCTACCATGATGCCCTTTTTGTAATATGATTAATTCTATTGTTTCTGCTCATCTAAAGAATTTTGATGATTACAGGGCTGAGATTGTATCATTAATGCCTTTCCTAACCAGCACCCAGAACATTGAGTCCCTCAGCAACTCTGCAGGGTAATGAAGTTCCCAGACCATCTATGCATTCATGCAAGGGTACCCCTGTACCTAAGCTTGCTGCCTATATCCAATTTGGATTTATTTTTACAGCCCTTGAAGCTAGCTACCCTGTGCATGAGTGGGTCTTCTGCTCCCTTTGCAGACCCTATTGGCTCACCTTTATATGTGGTCCTCATGCCTTGTATTCACAAACTATCTAGTACTTACTGCTTTGTCTGTTTTTTTTCTCATTTAACAAAGTACAACATAGCATCTATTTCTTGGACAATACATAATCATCTCTACCTTTCAAAGTTCAATATACTTTTTTTCAACTCCATCTGAAAGTAAGCCTCAACAAAGTTTTCCTGGTTTCCTAAGAACTCTCCTGCCTTACCAAGAACCTTACATACAATTTTATATATAAGTTTACTCCCTCATCATGCTTTAATGACTAAATTTTCAGTATTCAAATGCAAATTACCCAGTTTGTGGTCATAGGAAAAATGAACACATGTATTTATGTCTTTACATGTAACTGTAAATCAGATGCTTGCAGGTCCATTTTAAAGAAGGGCTAGCTAGCTATACCCAACTATATACGCTACAGACATGCAAATGGATTTTATATTTTCAAGCTGAAAGTTGAGAATATAACAATGGGCTGTGCTGAAGTCTAGAGTATAAAACAAATTTTAGGGTATGAATGCTGTGAAAAGATGTAGTAAAGACTGGCACTAACAGAAGCGCTGGACTCCAAGCTCCAGGTACAGAGCCTGTCATGTGTCCTAAAGGAAAGAGAGGGTTTTAAATAAATGATGAAGTGATTCCTAATTTAGAAGTAATTCTGAGTTGATCCACCCTTTTTTATGTCTCCCAAGTGGTCTTGACAAAAATAATGCAATGTATAGTGCCCATACATAGAACTGAACACAGCTTTGTGGTCTTCATCATCACATTTTCACATACTTTTACTTATAATATGTTGGTGCATTCAACAAATTTTAAAAAAAAAGATTTTTGACCTATTGAAATTGTAGTCATTATTTATCTCATTCAGAAACTCTGCTTCAGAGCATGCTGTGCATCTAGACATATCTACTTCAATATGGAAGAAATGTGCTCAATTTGGAGCACTTTAAATTAATATTTAGAAATAGACAATACTAACTTTCTGTTGTAATTAAAGTCTGAAAGTTTTAAGAGTCACCATTTAAGTTATTAGAGTAACAGATGAACCCAAGGAAGGGGTAGCATGGAGAAGAAAAGACAATAATAAATATAATTACATAAAATAAAACCAAACTACATCTGTATATGTGAATATGCTTTTAAACAAAAATCTTCTTGCCTGTTGTGGGATACCACCCTGTTAGTTACTGGGAAAGGAGGCCTCACAGAACACCAAAACAATAGAGGCTACTACAACTACTGTTCTTTGGTATGTGTGAAATTATAAAAACAGTGAAAGACACAAAATACCACCAAGGAAATCCTGCAGCTTTGAGATGTTGTCTATCCTTATTAAAAGTATTTTCAAATTAGAACAGGATCACATCATGGTCGATAAAAATACAATGAATCACGAGAGTATGTGGAAGATACATGATCTACAAGTACTTTGAATATTCTTCTAAAACTTTAACAACTGAAAGATGTTCTGTTTTTCTTGTCTGTGCCTTTCCCTCCTGATTTACATAATTATTCATTTTTTTCTTTACTTATTTCTTAGAAGTTTCTTACCTAACCCAGATTACAAATGTTCTTAGATTTTTTTTGAGATTTTTCTTATATTTTTTTAACAGCTAGGAAAATATCTCAGAAACAAACTTAGAATTTAAACAAATCAAAATGGTAAAATCACCTCGATGTCTGCAGCTTCCATGGAATAACATTGCCCTTTGAAGAAATTAGAAGTAATTATGCCACAGTGAGCATTCATTAAGGTTAGAGTCACTATTCTGTACACAGACAATTAGAATTTTATTTTCATTCTTGGTTTTGGAAAGGGGTTCATCCAGCTTGATAATTTACTTGATTTATTTAGCTAAGTGTGGTACGTTTAAAATTAAAGTGATAGACTTACTTTAGCTAGTGAGTAGCCACTGAAATGTCTATGAGAAATTCATCTTTAAAATAATCTTTACAGTTTTTTAATTTATTCTTTTCTCATACAATACATCCTGACTGCAGTTTCCTCTGCTTTCCCTCCTCCAAGCCCTACCCCAACCCATCCCCACACCCTGATCCACTGCTCCTCCATTTCCCTTCAGAAAAGAACAGGCCTCCCTGGCATACCAACTGAACTCAGCATAATAAGATACAGAAATATTGGGCAGATACCCTCACATCAAGGATGGATGAGGCAACCCACCAAGAGGAAAAGGGTACCAAGAGCAGGCAAAAGAGTCAGAGATGCCTCCATCCCCACTGTTAGTAGTCCCACAAAAACCCCAAGCTAATTACCACAACTTACAGGCAGAGAACATGGTGGAGACCCATACAGGTTTCTTGACTGTCATTTCAGTCTCAGAGCTCCTATGAGCCTTGCGTAATGATGCTATGGGCGGAGGTCTTCGTGTGTCCTGAACCCTCTGGTGTCTATAGTTCCCCCGCCCCACAGAGTGGGGCTCCCCGAGCTCTGTGAAGAAAGCTGAAATATTTTTGAAACAAACAAACAAAACAAAACAAAAAAGGTAGGCTTTCATTAAAAACTTTTGCTTCGCAGGGTGGTGGTGGCCCATGCCTTTAATGCCAGCTCTCGGGAATCAGAGGCAGGCGGATCTCTGTGAGCTTGAGACCAGCCTGGTCTACAGAGAGAGTTCCAAGATAGCCAAAGCTGTTAACACAGAGAAACCCCGTTTTGAAAAACAAAACAAAATACTACATTTTAAGGTCAATAAGAGCCTTGGAGACATGTTAACGAGGCAAGTAAATCAATTTTTAAAATCCTTATAAATATGTAAAATAACTGTCTGCTGGTTATTGGGTTATGGAGTGGGATCAGGGATGACTTAAGTCCCACTCAATGCTCTCCTCTGCATCTCACCTGACAGCCATTGGGCTATATTAACAGACCACTAATTTTCACCAATCAAAAGGCTAAAAGTGTCATCAGATGACAGCATGTGCAGCCTACAACAGAGATGTTCCTCCTTTTCTGTAACTCATTTCTCCCTGATGTTACCACCAATGTATTTGAAAAGTGCCTTGATTTATGACAGTATTTGCTCTGTTACTACAAAAACTTCATGAAGCTGTTACTGTACTGGATCCGGGGATTTTGGATAATCTGAATCTGTTCTTCCTCCTGTGGCTTGCAAAATTACTATTACTTATCCCCCTTTGAGTTGACATTTGTGCTTTTTCTCTCAATAGCTGTTGGAACTAGTGCGGAAGTGTAAGAGCAGCTCAGAAGGTATTTGTGAATCAAAACAGTAGATGAGAGATTTGAGAGAAAGACCTTTTGTGATTGATTTTACATGGCATATATATCACTTCCCAGATATAGTGTATGTATGTCCCTGAAGAATTATCATAAAATATTTGTGTTTTGATATCAAAATTAAAAAATGCCTTTCTTTGCTGTTCTGAAATCAAAGTGAAAATAGTCAGTCACACTTACCTACCCCGCCCCCATATTAGAGTGTTGAATGACATGCTCTATGCACCGAGCAAACACAGCAGGCAAGCTAGAAGATAGTACACTTGCTGTGTATTCTAGGTCATTACTGATGAGTGAAAGAAACGGCTGCACCAGAAAATGGGTGGCAATGAGCTGGTTCCATACAAACATTTCTGAACAGGAACAAGACTATTCCCTTTTAAAAGGTCTATTTGTATCATCCACATCTTTCAATGCAATTTGTTCTTTAAAAAAATATTGTCCTTGTGATTCTATTGGGTCACCGGACCCACAAATGTTTTCTCTTTAAGAACTCAGTTGTTAAAAAATAAAAGCACTTTTCTTTAGAGAATGTTTCTAATCATTTAATGTTTCAGAAGACAAGAATACATTGAGATTGTTTATGTCCCACGGTGTGTCAGAAGTAGACCCAACAGTGTGGCCACAGGTCCCACCAAGCATAACTTAGCGTTGAATGCCTCTTGCTGCTTCTCACTTCTCCTGTGCAAACATCGTTCCACATGTGTCTCATAAGTAAGTTGTAATAATACCCACAGGGAAGCAGTGTAGTTTCAATTATTAATAATAACGTCCTGAGAGAGGAGAAATTTACTTTTCACACTTAGATTATTTATTCTCTCAGTTGCCACACACATGGTTTTTGTTGGTTGGGCTTGGAGGCATTTTCTCATCCTTGGGGGGGACAATTATTTACAGAACATAAATTGTTCAAAACTCTCAGCTCAGCAGTTTCAGAAGTCATGTTTAATACTTGTCACTCAAAGATGAGAAACACGTATCTCCCCACAAAGCCAAGTCAGCCTCTGCACAAGGCATATTTCATCAGCTCTAAGTGTGTTTACACTTTAGGAAGAGTAAGGCTTCTCTCTGAGTGGCCATTCTGTGCTCCTTCCCTATGTTATGGCATGAGCATTTTTTTTTAAAGGCATAATTTATACTGAGGTTCTTTCTTCACTGTGCTCTTTTATATAACAAAGCAAACAACATTTCTGGGATGGATTTCTCCCCCACTGTTCACCTCAGGCCAAGCCCAAGGAATGTTCTCAGCAAGGAGGCAGCCACTCCCTCCCCTGGGAAAAAGCACTGAGGAGATGAATGTAGTGTGAGTGTGTGGGGGGGGCTTCATTCTGCTGATACAACAAATACCATGAGCATGTATTTGGGGGCTGTTGCTTCCTCACCTCCCCTCCCTCTTCCTTGTAAAATAGGAAAGTTGTTATGGTGTCACAGATTTGAATTGACAGTGACAAAGATAAAGTAACTCTCAATTAAGACCAAGGACAACTCATCTGAAAGTCAGAGAGAAGTCAGACACATTGCCAGGTATTCCAATAACAAAAGTAGCCATGGCCCATGGATTGAAATGTTCTGTGGAATCTAACCACAGTGTTTATCCTTTACCAAGATGCAACAACCTGAAACAATGGCGCATTCAATAACATCAGTGAAGGAGTGTTCTTTCCACTTGAAATGTAAGTCTAACTCAGAGGAGAGGTACCGGGGGATACGGAACATGGGAGACTAAAAGTGGGGCAGGTCCAAACAAAGTCTAACAAAACAAATAAACAGAACTATAACTAATTAGCTAAACACTGCACATGTTAGAGACAAACAAATAGCACCGATCTTTTTAAAGGCTGGTTGATAAGATATTTTACTTCCTGGACTTCTCCTGTTTTATTTTTTCTTATCATACTAAATTACAAATAGATCAGACAAATAGTTAATAAATAGTCACTTATTTCAAAGTACTATTCCTCCTTTCTGGGCTGCCTTATCTATTCACCCACACATTTCTCTCTAATGTTCTGGCCTGACATACTTCATAATGATAATATGATTTTAAGGCTTTTCCCAATGAAAGTCTTTCTTTTATATCCTCTAGGGACATGTCCTACATTTCTTTTATTTTATTGTGTCTATGTACACTGTGTCCATAGGTAACTTACTTTTATGTGTGCATATGGAGACAAAGAGTGATGTCAGGTGACTTTCTTCATCACCATTCACCTTATTCTTTGAGGCATTTTCTCTTACAGCTATTTTGTTTAGACTGACTAATACACCTTGACCCAAGATAAAGAGAAAAATCCATGGGAGTCTGCTTAAGGAGTATTAAGGAATTTTTTTCTTTATTAATATTATTATTATTAAGAAATTTTCTATTATTTTTACATACCAATCACAGAACCTTCCCTCCTCCCTCTTTCCTCTCCCAAGCCTTCCTCCTCCCCAACCCCCCCATTCCCACCTCCTCCAAGTCAGGTTCTCCCATGGGGAGTCAGCAGAGCCTGGTACATTCAATTGAGGCAGGTCTAAGGTCCCCTCCCCTTACCCCACACCAAGGCTGTGCAAGGTGTCACATCTTAGGTACTGGGTTCCAAAAAGTCTGCTCATGCACTTAATTCTTTAGGTTATCAATTGAGGAAATACACTCACAAATACAGAACTGAGTTAACATCCTCTCTTCTGACCTGGAGTGAATCTACCTGACAGTATGCTCACTCCAGGAAGCAGGAACCAGGGAGAAGAGGGGTCTTGACCCCTCCCCCTTTCCTTGTAAGAAGTCACTTACATACTAGTGCCTCTTTAGGTCCATATAGCCCAAGGTCATGGGCAAAGCAAATACCACTATACCAGGACCTGCTTGTCTCTGCATCTCAGGACTGTGGTAAAGACACGTCACTGTGCTTTATCCATAGATGCTGGGAATCCAAAGTCAGTTCTCATGCTTATACAGTAAGCACTTAACGACTGATCATGTCATCTCTTAATATCCTAAAAGTCTCTATTATAGTCTTTGCCACAATGTTAATTAATATTATCATATACATGAGTTTGCCTAAGACATGAAAGACAGTGCTTTTTGTCATTTTAGCATTCATCATATTATCTAAAGTTTTTCTTAATATGCTTAAGTGAGAGAAATAATTGGGGCATAGCTGAGTGAGTTTTCTCACAGTTCAAGTTTGTCAATAAGAACTAGTCTGAATTCATTACTATATAATTAAAATGTCATTGGTAAAGGGAAATCACATTAAATATTTTGATAACAGTTTATAACAATATGTACAACTGTTTATGAATATCAACATTTTTTTCTGACATAATTGTTAAACCCCAAATTTTCCCAATTTCTCTTAGTGATGAAAGGAAATATATAACCTTAGATAACATTATAGCAATTGTAATTTAGACATTAGTAGCTATTATGTGATATTAGATGCTAAGAAGACACTGGAATACTTTAAAAGTCATTAATGAATCAATTATTAAATGAAACACATGAGAAGCATTGATACTTCATCAACTATCTTCATCAAATGAAAACATGACATAAGATTTGAAAACTTAAGTTCACTTAAGATCTATTTTCTTAGTATGCAAAAAGATCACATATAAATACCAATTTTATTCATAACATTGTTCCCCACACCTGGAAGCAATAAAATATACCCTTCAATAGGTGAATAAATCCATACATTATTGTAATTTTATGCTGTGGAATACTATACAGTGATAAAATGTAATGAGCTCTCAAAAAAAGCTGTAGTTTGTAGCTGAAGTTGTCCTGTTTTCCAGCCTGCTGGTGGTCAGGACAAATCTCTCTCACCTGCCAGTCCTGTAGCCGCTCAGACCCAAGTAAACACACAGAGGCTTATATGATTTACGAACTGTATGGCCTAATGGCTCAGGCTTCTTGTTAGCTAGATCTTATATCTCAAATTAACCCATTTCTATAAATCTATACCTTGTCACATGGCTTGTGGCTTATCAGTATCTTTACATCTTGCTTCTCATGGAGGCAGCTGACAGAGTCTCCTGACTCAGCACTCCTGTTCCCAGAATTTTCCTCTCTCTTTGTCCTGCCCATACTTCCTGTCTGGCTACTGGCCAATGAGCACTTTATTTATCAACCAATCAGAACAACACATTCGCAGCATATAGTAGTTGAATAAATTCTTAAAGCACATCTCTAGGATAGAGAAACCAGTCTGGAAAGGCTGTGTGCCACACGAATCTCTTTATGTGGCACTCTGGAGAAGCCAAAGCCACATGGTTATCGTCTTGCCTAAATGGCTAGTGGGTCTGGTGGGTGAGAGAGATTTGTCCTGACCACAGGACAGGTAGGACACAGGAAAAACTCCAGCTACACTACAGAGTCCATAGTGCTTTCTGAGTTTTAGCATTATGGAACAGGTGATGAATTGCTGTGGATATTGCTCTATATAAATAAAGCACTGATTGGCCAGTCACCAGGCAGGAAGTATAGGCAGGACAAGGAGAGAGGAGAATTGAGGAAGGAGGAAGGAAGGAGAGACCACCTGGAGCCACCGCCAGGACAAGGAAGATGTAAAGTACTGGTAAGCCACGAGCCAAATGGCAAAGTAAAGATTAATAGAAATGGGCTGAATATAAGAGTGAGAGCTAGACAATGATAGGCCTGAGCTAATGGCCAAACAGTTTAAAAAATGTAAGAGTCTGTGTATTTATTTTATGAGTGGGTTCTGGGACTGGCGGGACTTGGCGGCGGGAGCTGGAGAGAAATTCTCCAGCAACAATGAATAGGGGCTATTTGCAGAGAAGTGCAACTTTTCTGTAGGTACCCTAGTGGCACTCGGTTTTTGTCAAAGTCTAGGGAACAGATGAACAACTTTGAACCAGGGGCACATGTGCATTGGGGCGGGGTGCTGATGGAGGAGGCTGCCCATAAGCAAGAAGAGATGACTAGAATAAAGATTAGTTTAGCACTGGAGAGAGTGGGAAGTGGGAACAGCATGGATTTGTGCTTACTTCACCAAGGAAGATAGGTGCATGTAGAAGTATGTATACACGTGTGTATAGCAGCATGCCTCAGTGTATGCACACGTGCTCCCTGGTTTGCCAGCTGGCATGACTCGATGTGAGTAACAAGCCTCTGTAGCACACGTGTACCTAGTACTTAGCTCTCTCCCTTATGTGATCCACCTAGGGAAAATTGCACACCGTGAAGAACAGTGGATGGCAGAGTTGAAGCAGAAGGATTTAAAAAACAAAAAAAAAAAAAGGGAAAAGGGACCTTGAGAGTCCTCTACAGTGCCAGAAAACTTAGAAGTGCCAGAGAAAGTAAGGGAAATAAAAACTGAATACTGAAAACAAAACCAGTTGTGATGTATGCCAAGATATATGGGAGCTCCCCAAAAGAGTTTCAAATGACAAAAGTTAAAACATTAGGCAAAATAAAAAAATACAGTATTTGGTTGGAACAAGACTCACTTACATTTGAAATATTTTTACATATGTAAATAGACAAGCTGGTGGACAAGAAAAAGACAAATTTCTTAGGTATAACATAGTGAAATATATGGATGTATTGACCTACATTAAGTTGTACCTAGTTATGTAGAGTAAGGTTCCTGAACCCTAAGTGTGGACTATACACAAATCATAACTGATAATAATACACTGAGGAAAATGGGAGGAAATACCTTTTTATGTGCAAAAGAATGGAGTCATTATCAACAGAAATGTACTGGCTTTGCTACATACCATTGACACAATGAAATTAGAATTTTTTCCACCCCTGTGAGTGCCGTCCCTAAAATAAACCCTCTCTAAAATAAACACGCAATATAAGCATTAAGAACAAAAAATAAATCTTTATTGTGTATCATTCTCAAAAATACCGCATCATCATTCTTTGAGGACAGTGTTAACAGAAATGTCCCTAAGCCATGGAGATGGGAAGATGGATCAAGCCTGAAGACCTGCATTCAGATCCCCTTGTACCCACAGAAATAGCCTACTGCACTCCCAAGTGCCCTCAGTGCCTGCACTAAGAAAACATAGATAGAAGGGTTGTGTGGTTTGCTGGCCAGCAGCTCATGCTGAATTGTTGAACTACAGGGTTCATAAAAGACATTTTTTCCTTCCAAAAATCAGTAAAGAAGAAAACACCAATTTTGGACTCTGATCTCCCCACATGTATGTATACACATGTGAGTGTTCTCTCTCTCTCTCTCTCTCTCTCTCTCTCTCTCTCTCTCTCACACACACACACACACACACACACATACACACACATACACACATTCATACATAAAAAGTGCATAAGAAACTGTACCTATGCACCAACTTTAAATATAGCACATATTTGAAAATAGAGTATAAAAAAATGTAACTGTCTCTGTAGTCATCTCTATATTGATTTTGTGTTGCAATAATAATTGGATATGCTAAACTAAATAAATACATCAATAAAAACCAATTGCATCAAAATCAAGTAATGCTCCAGAAACTGTCACATCTGAAAGAAAGCTAGATGACATAAAGATTGTTTAAAATATTATGTCTGGAATGGGATGTGGAGATAGAAAAAGACTAGGAAAATCTGAACTTAGTGTGGTCTATGGTTGATAATAATATATCAATATGAAAATAACTTAAATAATTTGGTTTGTAATATACAGTCTCATTCATGGTGGTGACTCACAGAGCCCACATGAACAGACATGCAATAATACTCACTTTACTTATTTTTAGTACTTCAAAGATGATTTCAAACATGACTATGAAGGATTTATCATTTATCACAGATCGTTTATCACAGAATCCAAGATAACAGCACCTCTAAACTGTTTTACTTCCACATGTCTGAATTAAAAAGAAGTTGCATCCATATTTAATGAGTCTTTTCAAGTGAATGAAATTATGTGACAAAAATATGTATTGCACTCATATATTTTAATATTATTATATCTTATATGGAGTGACATTTGACAATTACTATTTCTAAATTTATCCCCTTAGTAAATGATAATTCACGTATTTTTTTTCTTTTTTATTCTCTGGAAGGAAGGTGTAGTGGAAACATTGATTTTGGTGAGGATACCTTAATTAAAAATGTAGCTTCACAGTGTAGCTACCTGAAGAAGAATGAGACAAAACGTCCATGTCTTGCAAAAGCTTGTGTCTTCTCTTGAGTCTGTGGTTAGCTAGGGTGTGGTTAGTTTCAGACGCAATGGATGTTTTAGCAATAGAGCCATGCTGTTTGAAGCTGAAGGAATACCATCTTCAAACCATTGGCTAAGTCTAGAATAGGTAGTAAATATGCACATCATCTCTAGCAAGGGACATACAGCTGAGGATATATATATATATATATATATATATATATATATATACACATATATAAAATTAAGTTTGTCCCACTTCTCCTAAAAGTGTAACTATAATACTGGAGTTGGCATCAGGCCAGTATTATAGCACAACCCATGAAACACCATCATAGACTAATGTATTTAACTATCCAAGGGACCTAAGAAATAATAAATTGCTCAATTAATTATGAGATAATGCATTTAAGGACTCCCTCAAATTTGTCATTAGCTAAGCACACACTTACTTCCACACCCATCCTTGTGTGTGTATACGTATGTTCATATGTCCTGAGAGAGAAAAAAAACATGAGAGTTAGAATATGAAAACATTATCTCTTCATTTCTCAAATTTAAACTTCAGAAATTATTTTCAAACAGTATCTTTCATGCATTTATTACTCCATTTATTTTCACTATTAACAAAAGGAATTTATAAGCCTTTGTTATAATTGGCAAATACAAAGGCCTGTCAGAATAATAGATAATCTTCAGTATTTGGCTGCATTTTAATTTACAGGCTCTGGGAGTACTTTCATGATGAGATATGCGCATGGGGTAATGGCGCTGTCTTCAGAACTATGTGAAAAATTATTTATTGTTACATTTATCTAACAAAAAACACTTCTGCTCGAAATTAGAAGGTATTTAAATGCTTCTTCGGTTCCTTGATGTACAGAGAGCCCGGGTGACAGTTCTAATCTTGGTAGCTGACTAACAAAAGGAATTACTGTTCCTCATTTTATCTTTAAATGTATCAAAACTTCAAAGTAAACTCTGATTTCTTTGATATTTTTGTTCTAACACAGATAAACAAATCAGCAGACCACTTTGAAAGTCAAAGAATAGAAATTATAAGCAAAAATGACTTATCAGGTTAGTTCCAGTAAGTGTAGGCATACATTATTAAAAGTGAAATCGAGTCACCTGTATTATCATAGAACTGTTCTGAATTGTTCTGAATGCGAATTTTCAGTGTTTTTTCCTGATTTTGTTTGGAAAGTCCAATTTGTTTAGTTTTTATTAATTAAACATCTGTGAATTGGGTATTATGAATTAATATTATTCCTAGTACTATATACACCTGTTGGAGGTAGTTATAAGATTATAAAATTTTACACATAGCCACTTCATTTCAGAGACCAGGTAGTTTATTCCTATACCCAGCAACAAGAATGGTCAAGCTGGGATCAAAACTCCATCCATGTGGCTCCACATTCTTTTTTTTTTCTATAACTTCCCATCCCCTCAGTTCTTCTAGACCTGTCCTGGTATTATGAATGAAATACAGTAATTAGAGCAAAATGGATCATTTCCCTGCATTGCAGTGAGTACGTCTTCAAAGAGACACTCTTAAGACATCATTTAGTTTGAACACTTTGAATGTATGAAAAGCAGAGGCTATGCAATCCATAATGAAGGCCACCCCTATTACAAAAGTGGGTTGAAATTGAACTGGAAAAATAATATTGTATTTATTCATTATATTGTCACTGTTTTCTTATGTGTCAAAGATTAAACATTGCTATTAATCATAACTTATTAACACGTATAAGTAATTGTGTATAGATAGAGAATCCTGTTGGCTATGAAATTGTGATGTCACTCTAAATTTTGTTTAAGGTTCTGATACAGTAGTTACAGTGTGCAGTTGCAATTACAAGTATACTATTACAAGAACACAAAATAATTATGTTCTTTTAATCTGCGACTATCTAGAAAATCATTTTAGTAAATAAATGGATAAAGTACAGAATGCAAACTTCCTTTTTCATCCCACTTAGCATAGAAATGGAGATGATTTTCTCTCAGAACCTATTTTTATTTTCCTTCAGCAAAAAGGTAATGGGAGAGGTGGAAGTATTGCCCTGTGGTGGAACCCTTGCCTGAAATGTAGGAGAAAGCCATGGCTCTGTACCCAGCAGTGGGAAAAACTCACACTGAAGGCAAGGTAATGAGGAAATTCCCTCAATAATTTCCTTTCCCATTTTGTTGATTTTGTCATTCATTCAACATTTCTTTATGATAAACTTAATAATTAGCACCATTGTACAAGTATTTTAAAACTTACCTATTTAGACACATGAACCTAATAAAATATCATTAAAAATATTAAGAAAATAAACATTCTATTTTTTCGCCATGTTCTAGTTAGGTTTATGTGTCTGTGATCAACACCATGATTGAGAGCAACTTGGGGAGGAAAAGGTATTTCAGCTTATAGTTTTAGTCCATCATGAAAATAATCAGGACAGGAACTCAGTGCAGAAGTTGAAGCAGATGCCATGGAGGAAAGCTGCTTTCTGATTTGCTCTCAAGGCCATGTTCTTCTATCTTTCTTATGCTTCCCAAGACCACCTTCCCAAGGGGAGCTCCTACCAACAGGGTCTCTGGGGCCTCCACACACATCTTTAACCAAGAAGATGCTCCAAAGTCTTGCCTACAGGTTGATTTGATGAAGGGATTTTTCTCTTCTGTTTCTGTCTTCACAGAGGATCCTAGTTTGTGTCAAGTTGAGTTGAGGAAAAACTAACCAGAACATAAAAATTGTCACTTAAGAAATATTTTTTCATCATCCACATTTCTAAAACTATGGCACATGTTTCTATAATTATAAAATTCCAAAGATTCATTAGTATGTCTGGTCTTGATATCAGATGACAAAATGCACTAAAACTTTATCCCTCCCTTCATTGTGGCATGGGATGACAGGGGCAGGAAACCTTGGAAAATAAACGAAATAAGGTGGTACTGTGAGGTTAAATATTCAACATTCCTAGGAAAACCTCTTAGGCATAGGAGGTATGAACTGACATTCAGATGATCATGAAAGTTTAGAGACTAAATGAATAAAAAGTCTTTCTGTGAAGAGTGGAGAGATCCTGTCACCTGTTGGGAAAGATGGCGGGTTTGTTTTCAGTTTTGCAAGGAGTGGGGTTCCAAACTGATTTGCTTGCTGGCACGTACGTAGTCTAAGCACACAACAGAAACTTCTAAACTGTCTAACAGAATCAAAACTTAATTTTTGAAAGTGAACCAATTTATTCAGAAGTCTTTCAAATTTGACTAACGCACTAAAACTTACAGGGCCCTTCCTCCTTCAACACTAGCCTGATGTCCAAGAAATAAGATAAATTAATCCCAGAAAGGATTAGGAAGAACAATAGAAGGAGTCTGGGTTTTAGAGAAGACAGGGTAATATGCTGTTTCTTCTTGATTTTCACCTTCTTCTGCTGTTCCTTTGAAACCTACAGACATTTCTCTTCAGGCAAAGGGGACGAATTTCTCATGGACATTACATACATTCCAACTTTAGGGTTCAGGACGTCGTGGGTCACACGCTGCAGAGGGTTACCATTGCCGTGTCGCTAGTTTCCCATAATTTTGCAAGTTGAAGGATAAATCTTTTTTTGGCCAAAGGCAATCAGAGCATCCTGTGGTAGGTGACTGAAACAAAGACAGGGGGTTTTTAACAATTCTGTTTTGATATTCTATCATGTATCAGTGACACAGGAATGTAGAAAGCAGGACTATTGTTGCCAAGGTTCCTTGCTTTACTTCAAACTCCTCCACAAATTCTCTATTTTCTAGTTGAGCTTAAGCACAGGCTCACTCTAGGGCTGTGTCTAGTTAGTTTCCTTTAAACTTCTGACCTGGTGAAAGAAGTAGACTTGGGCCTCTTTCCAATGAGACAGTTTACTTTTTTGTCTTCTGACATGGGTGAGCAGTGGACTCCTTCTCATTTGTCTCTCTCCACAGGCATGGGGCCAGAAAAGCAGCAATCTTCAAGTGAAAATAAAGAACTGAGAATGTTATAAAACATGCGTCCACCTTCCTTCCCCCTTTAAGCTGAAAATGGGGTGGATTACGCTGTGATCCTCCCCAGATGCACTCACACAGGGATCCAGGAAAGCCAAGAAAAATTTCCCTACCTAGACTGCTGTTCTCAGTTACGGGACTTGAAAACTACAAAAAGGGATTGAATAGCACAAACCCTCAAAATGTTGTGCAAACACTGCTTCTTGGAAAGGTAAGAGAATCAAATCAGTCGCCACAAATTATAAGCATATTCAAGAGGAGACAGTAAACTCTTGACAACCCTCCTCCATGGTGCTAGCTAACTGTGAGGGATCTTTTCAATGGTCCTAATGGTACATTCAGCAGAGTCTAGCACTCGATTAAACAGAATTCTGTTCTTCTTGTTTTGTTTCACCAAAAGGAAATTTGACTTTCATACATGTGGATCAATTACAAGGACATTCAGACCATGGATATTCATCAACACCTACAGGATAAAGTTCTGTATGCAACAACGCCCTGAATAAAATGAAACCCATTCTCAATTATGTTCTCTGCCTACCAGCTTCATACTCATTTCAATCTCCGGGGAATTAATTTCTTTATTCTGCAGTACAATAAAAAGTGACATTAAAGTATGACTCTTCAAATTAAAAAAGCAGGAGATAAAGTTATGACTTTCAAATCAAAATGACTTATTCTATGGTTGTACTATCATATGTCAAAATATACTGAATGAAAGATAGAGATACATCTATGAATTTTAAACTATCTTGAAATAAGAGATAATAAAAATCATCAAATGAGTCAGTGACTCAAAGTGCAATGCATTAGTACTAAATTTTTCTCATCTGATGTAAAAAATTATATAGTAAATGTTTAATCCTGAAATCATTGGTTTTCATGTATTTTTGTCCTTATTTTTGTCCATAAATTGTATACTGTATTTCCAATAATATATACTACCTTTTGTTGGGTAATTCATGCTTTTTCTTACAATTACATATCTCTCAAACTCCAGTTACTTCCTAACCGTATTTCAGTTCCACCTTTAAAATCAACTGAGGGGTTGGGGATTTAGCTCAGTGGTAGAGTGCTTGCCTAGCAAGCACAAGGCCCTGGGTTCGGTCCTCAGCTCCAGAAAAAAAAATAATAAAGTCAACTGAACCTGCCCAGCTGAAAGCAGATCAATTAAATGTGATGAGTAAAGTCTGGTAATAACATTACACATAAACAAGATAATTTTGGGCAACATGAGAGAAAATATTTCAAAATGTTCCTCTGTCGCATAACTTGAGATAAAATAGTTTTGTGTTTCTGTATAATTCCAGATTCTACAATTACGTTTCCTTGTCTTATGATTTTTAATGTTCAAAGTAGAAAAGAAAAGTCAGAGGGGATAGATGATGCCAAGGAAACAGTGTGTTCCAGACAGTACAGGAGTAACTCACAGAGGTTGTGGCAACAGGTTCAAGACAGAAGGCATCTTAGTGCTGAGAAGGGAAAGTGAACATAGGCTCCAACTTCTAATCAAGAAGCCTCTGTAATTGTCATCTGCTTGTGAAAGGAAAATTTGTTTTCTCCAATGGAGTCTCACCGGTTACACAAACCATACTGAGGGGTAGGTAGGTCCCATGTCCAGCAATAGATGGCCAACACAAAAATGGATTTAATGGTATTTTTGTAGACTTTTGTCTCATATTACTTTGTTTGGGCTTTCTTGTCTTACTGATCTTTTGCTTGTATATTATACTTTCTGATTTTGTGGTTTGGGGATTTAGTTTGTGTGTATGTGTGTTTAAATTCTGGTTAGGTTTTTGCTTGTTGTATTGCCTGTTTGTTTTCTAAAGAGAGAGAAAAAGAAAAGGAATCCAGTTCAGTGAGAGGTGTGGTGGAAGCATCTTGGAGGAGTGGAGGGGGGAGGGAAAACTGTGATCAGAGTATACTATACGAAACATTCTTTTCAATAAAAGGATTTTTAAAGCATAAGGATAGTGAAGGACTAGTTTTCTTTATTTTGCCATCAATTGCTCATTTTCTTTTTCGTGGTGCTAGGAAAATTCATCCAAGGCTGTACATAAAGCCACTAAAAATGCTGCTTCCCCAGCCCTCAGGAAGCTTTTAAATTTTCCTCATTATTTCTTAACCAACTTCCCAGTGTATACAGCTAATGGAATTTTCAAAAATGCAGGACTCTGACATAGAATTCTAGAAATTTGTAAGAATATGCTAACTTGCGTTTGGGCGGGAGAGCATCTCCACTGAGGAAGAAAGGGAAAAATTAAGTCATAAATTAGCCTTTAAAGTCTGGAAACTTTGCAATGTGTACTTCGTATGGAATCCTTACATTATAAAAACAGGGTTTGTCTTTCTGGATGAAAATCATCCGTTTCCATTTAGAAGCTTCCAGTAAATGCTGCTGATTCACATTTACCCTGTGTCTTAAAATACTCTTTTGGCACACTTTTATATACTGCAAAAGCGTTTCCACTTATATTTTACAGTTGCAATGAAATATAGAAATCCAAATTATTGGCATATGATAGAAGATATAGCAGATATTAAAGACTGTTACTATGGAAAGAATACATGTGAGTGAGAATGAAATGCAAACATGCATCCCAAGGAAGTTAACTGAATTTTGAAATGGGCAACTTGTAAAGAAAAAAAGAGAAGTGTGAGACACTCATTCACTCATTTGCCATTCTTTAAAGTAAACCCATGTCCTGGTTTCAATGGTACTCACTTCTGAGTTTCATAGTTGTTTTTTATCCATGAAGTCTACACACATCCCTAGGACCCACAGCATTAGTCCACTTTATCTGTTCATGTGTATGTATGTGTCTCTGGTGTGTGTGTGTGTGTGTGTGTGTGTGTGTGTGTGTGTGTGTGTGTGTGACTTTGTCTGGGTGTCTGTGTATCTGTGTGTTTGTATGCTGTGTTTTGCCTGGGATTGAACTCAGGTCCTCTCCCACCCATGGTGAAAAAAGCTTCATCATTGAGCTATATATCAGAGATTGTTTTGTATAGTGATTTTACAAGAATCAAACAATCCAGGAATTTAAAGTTCATGAGCAAAATCATTGTATTTGATACTTTTCTTGCCATTGAGCAACTTAAAGAAGCAAAGTTTCCTTTTGTCTCAAGATTCAGGAAGTGCAGTCAGTCATGAAGATGAAGGCGCAATGGCAGGAACATCTGGCGGTTATGGTAGAGAGCCTCTTGCTCATATCTGGCAGGAAACAAACAGGAATGTTGCCTGGTATTCTGCACTCTAGCACTCAGCTAGTTTCTTCCAACTCCCTTGTATTCAGTTTTGGGTTTCAGCCTATGTATGGGATGATACACTTGCATTCAGAATAGGTCTTCTCTCTTCCATAGCTAAGCCTCAAGGACACACCGAGTGGAGATTCAAAATTCAGTCTCTTTGAAAATGAAGATTCACCATCACAAACATGAGATGTGAAGTGATATGTTCATTTCCACTGATGTATGGAATATCATTACATGACTATAACAGTAAATTTAAAGCATCTCAATGGTAATGAAAAATTGCTTTATGGTCAGTGATTAACGAAATAAATCTGCCACAAAACTCTTGTGTTTTATTTCTGGCTATACAATTTATGTTTTGGTGTGCTGTACTTGGTAACAACCTGCTGATATATAAATACTTTGTAGTACTAGTATATGATACTAAATTGTTTTCCAAAAGGATTACAAAACCAAACACTCCTACTCTAGTTTATGAGACCCCGATGCTCACACCCGGAATTGTCTTGTTAATACTGGTTATTGCTAGTGGGTATTCACCAATAGTTTACTATGACTTTAATTTCTATGCCATTAGTTATTTATTTTATCATATATTTTTATCTCTAACATTAGAAGTTAATCTTTTGTGAAATACCTATCAAACCACTGAACATTTTTTGATTTTGTAAATTAATTTAACTGTTCATTTTTTTAGATTAAAATATAATTATATCATTCCCTCCTTCTTTTAGTTCCCTCCAACCCTTTCTATGCACCCTCCTTTCCCCCTTTTTCAAATTCACGGTCTCCATTTGTTTAGTTGCTGTTACATGTATATTCCTAGATATATAACTGGCTCAGTCTTAGTCAACAACTTAGTACATGGTGACAAATTAGTGGACTCTTTCCCGGTATTTCTCCTGCTCTCAAAATTGTATAGTAGCCTGTAATTTTTTGTCTGAGTTTGGCTGATGAAAGAGAAGAAACCCTCTCCATTGTTCAGAGAGGAAGGTATTTGGTTCTTTGCAGGTGAAGGACAATGTTGCTAGATGCATTATTTAGAAAGAGTATGTGTTCACAGTAGGTGCAGGGAAAGAAGCTGGTTTGCCAAGTATATTATTAAGAGATGTGAAAGTGTGTAACTCAATACAAGTATACTTCTTGGTTTCTGGATTTTTCCCTGAGCTTCACTGCCCTAAAGAGTTTTCAACAAATGATCTTTGGAGAATTGGAATATTAATACGTGGAAGCTGACGTAGAGTATCTTCAGCATGATAAGCATTTGGATTTCAGTTAGACTGAAGATTTAACTAATATCCATAAGATAGTGCTAGTGAATAGGTCCATGCCTCTATGGTAAGAACATTTCCTGAGGCCCAGTGATTCAGAGTGCTTGTTGTTGCTCTTGCAAAGGACCCACACAGTGGCTCAAAACTCTTGTTCCAGGGCATCTGACACCTTCTTCTGATTTCTTTGGGTACCAGGCACATACATGGTACATGTATATGGAGGCAAAAACACTCACACAAACATAAATAAATCTTCTAATGGGGCAGTGGTGGCATACACCTTTCATTCCACCACATGGGAGGCAGATGCATGTGGGTTTCCAAGTTTGAGACCAACCTAGTCTATAGAGTGAGTTCCAAGACAGCCAAGGATATAGGGGAAAACAAACTCTATCTCAGACAAATGAACAAAATATCTCCTGAGTAGTTAATTTAAAAAATAACTAACTATAAATGAAATTATTAACAAAACCATATTTAAGCATCTTTATGGAAATGCTGTAGTATGGAAGATGGTATTGAAGCATTTACCAGTAATAAAAGACTCATTTCAATAAAAAGCAAGATGTGGATGTGGTGTATACATTTCTGATGCAAACATTCTGGTAAATGAGACAGGAACACCATGACATTGAGTCCTGCCTAGATTAGTAAGAACTGTCTCAACATCTCCCTCCCCCCCCCCCACAAACACACCACACACATGCATGTACAGGTTCCTAGACACTGTAACAAAAAGTAAAGATATGGACAACTAAATAAAGGTGATATCCCATATTTAAAAGTGTTTAAGTGGCTGTACAAGCTTGCATTCCCACCAAAAGTGGAGGAGAGTTCCCCTTGCTCCACATCCTCTCTAGCATAAGCTGTCTTCAGTGTTTTTGATCTTAGCTATTCTGATGGGTGTAAGGTGGTATCTCAGAGTCATTTTGATTTGCATTTCCCTGATGATTAGGGATGTTCAGAGAGGGAGAACAAGGAAAGA